GTTGATAATCGATCGATCAATTGATTGATTTGATTTTGAGAAAGTTGCCGACAAAGTTACCTGTTCAATTTAACATGAAAAAAAAAGTTTCCATCATTTTTTCTGTGGCCACCCATGTTAATTGATTTGTTCAAAAAGAATTGTTTGATTTGAAACGGAATTTTTAAACAAAAATTGTCAAAACTGATCAGATAAAATATGAAAACTATTTCGTCTGATCATCAATTTAAATGGGTGGGTGGTCGCGTTCACAACAATCATATCACATCACATTATCATCATCATTTCGAAAATGGAATGTAACAAAAATTTCGTTGTTGCTGTTGAAAAAATTGTAACAAAAAAAAAATGTGTGGTTGAGAGAGAAAAACAAAGTATGCAAATTGCATTATCATCATCATCATCCTGAGGTAACCAAGAAGACGACGAAGAAGAATCTTGTTTTCCAACCACCAAACCTAATCAGCTTTCCCTACCTTAGTTTTTTTTCATTACCTATCTAGCTAGCTTGTTAAACAAACAACAAAACAACTTTTGTTTCATTTCTCAATTAGCTAGAAAACTAAAAAATCATTCTTGAAAACCCCAAACAAGCAAACAAGCAATAATCATTTTTCTTAGGAAAAATGAAAACTAACTTATTTTGGACAGAAAGAAAAAAGTTACATTCCAAAACCAAACCAACCACACACACACACACACAAACACATAGACAATAGCACAGACAATTGATGATTGAGTTTACATAACTAATTTTGTTTCTTTCTTCCTTTTGCACTGTGTATTTCATCATCATCATCAAATGTTGCCTTTAAGGCAAATGATGATGAACAAACTTAACATCCGAGAAAAAAATATTGGAATTTTTGTTTTGGAAAAATATTTTTCTTCGTTAAGGAAGTTTCAATGTTTATGGATGGTGTTTATGTTTGTTTTATGAATGAAAAAAATTTTCAATATTGATTTTTTTTTTCAGAAACAAAAAAAAAATTTAACCCTCCAGTTGAAAACAATCTGCAAATGTTGAATGATTTTATATATTCTTGGTTATTCTGAGTTAACTACCACCATCATAATCATTGCTGAATGAATGAATGAATGAAAATGAATTATGATGAGATTGGTTTGCCAAAAAAACAAAAAAACAAAAAGTGTGAATGAGAAAAGCTAATGATCTAATGGTGGTTTAACAACGAAACGAAACGAAACGAACGAAAACTTTANAAAGATGAAATAATAATAATAATCATCATCTATATTAGTTTGAATCATTTTTCATATAAACAACCGATTGAAATAATATAACAGAATTACAAATTACAAACGGTCATATTTATTATAGCAATATGAACAAAGGTTGGAACCACATACAAACACACACACACACACATTCGCATTTTAGTCGCGCTAGTGACAAGACGTGTGTTCATGTTTTTTATCTCAGCAATTTTACTACCCTACTCTCCTTGTTTTGTGTCTATTTCTGTGCACTATCTCAGTGTTTAGTTATTCATTTTATTTAAAAATGGCCAACGATATCAAGATTACCAACGTCAATAAAGCCATCAAAAACTTGCAAAAAGTTTTCGAAGATCATCCTCGCACCGCAGCAAACATCCAACTACCTGCTAAGGAGCTTATTTCCCTTACTCAGAACCTAATTACACACTTCAAAGCTACAATTTCAAGCCTCACTTCTGAAGTAGAAGGATACAAATCCATCATTGACAAACACCTTTTGGACAAAGATGAAAAACTTCAAACAATTCTAGATAAGATAAATTCAAACTCTAACAACACCACACCACAATACAACACCATTGCTCAAATCCCCCCTAGACCAATCAACAAAACGGTTCTCGTAAAACCTAAAAACAACTTGTTAACCCCCCCTCAAGCTAAAGATGCCATCTGCAATGCTATTCCAACCGGAGATATCAAATGTAATCAGATTTCCATCAACAAATCGAATGTGGCATACAAGTTCTCTTGCGAAAATAGTAAAAACAAATTCATTAATTTGATCAAATCTAATGAAAGCCTCAATTTGTCCTTGGAAGCATATGAGCCCACTCCTAAATGCCCAACCATCATCCTCAAAAATCTTGACTATTCAACAAACGAATCTGATATTATAAACAATTTGGTAATTCAAAACGACCTTAAAGATTTTGACCACCATTTGAAGCTTCTGTTTACAATTAAAAAACGCTTTTATTACGACGCTGTTCTTTGTGTATCTCCACACATTTATGACTCACTGACTCAACGCACTCTTTTTATCGGATGGACAGCTGTCAATGCCCAAAATATGTTTCTTTTAGGGCATTGTAGCAAGTGTTTGAGTTTCCAACATCGTACTAACGACTGCTCAAATCATCTTAAAAAATGCAAAAATTGCTCTCTTTCTTTCTCAAACGCACATGTAAACAATAAACATTCGGAATTCTCCCTCCATATCCGAAACTGCTCCACCCTCAAGTGCTGTCACTGCCACGATAAAAACATGATATCTGATCACGCTGCACTGTCAGAAAATTGTCCATTCTATCGTCAAAAAATCCAATTCGTTTGGGAAAAGACATGTTATGATCCCACAACCAAAGTTCAATTTTTCAATAAACCCTCCAACATTATAACAACAAACTCCCCTAACAATAACAACACTACAATCTCTCCCCACTACAACACAACAGGTTCCACCAACACCACTATCAATCACACACTCACCACAACTATCCAACAACTCCCCCCCTCCCCCTCATCTGTTTAATTCACTTTCATGGATCCAATCAAATTTATACAGATTAACCTTAACCGTAGCACTCTTGCTGCTAAGGAACTTCTTAATCTAGTACAAAACAAAGGAATAGATGTAGCCATTATTCAGGAACCTCCCTTCATCAACAATTTCATCCCTTCCTTCTCTTTCGCAAATTTAATACGCCCACCCACCCTTGATCGTCCGCGCGCAATCATCGTAATTTTCAACCCGGCTTTGAATTATGAACAAATCCCCCTACCCTCCAGCGACCTCTGCGCGATCAAATTCTTCTCCCAACACACAGACTTTTTCCTACTCTCTGTATACTTCCCCTCTAATCATGATTTAAACGGTCATCTGCAACTCATTGACGTTTTCTTATACCAGAACATAAACACACCCGTCATCGTCAGCGGTGACCTAAATAGTAGCCACACTCTATGGAATAGCACTTTCGATACTCCTAGAGGCTCACAAATCTTTCAATTAATCTACCAATTTGACCTTTCTGTTCTTTCGACACCTAACCCTTCCTATCAACACAACGATGGTAGAAACAGCTTTATTGACATTACCCTCCTTTCTCCCTACGCCACTGCTTTTGTCAATAACTTTCAACAACTTCCTCTCCCTTCCTACACCGATCATACACCTCAAACCTTTTCCATCCAAATCCCTAAACCCACATCTTCCACCCAACCCTCTACATGGCTTTTTAACGAAAACGGATTCCAATGGACCATCTTTACTGACAACTTCGACAACGAAAAAATCACTTATCTACTTAACAATAGTAATTCTATATCATCTCATGAAGAAATCGAAGACTGTATCTCCATTTTCACTGACATCATCATCAGCACAGCATACAAGACAATTCCTATCAAAAAACCTTCTTCTAAATCTTTTTGTCGTAACATCTATCTGTCTCATGATGTCAAATTTCTTCAAAGAGATACTAAGCGCATTAAAAATAAGCTACATAAGACCAACAACCCAGTTCTTAAAAACATCTATAGAACCAAATATCTTGCTCTAAAGAAAAAACTCACAGAGCTCATCGCCGAGAAATCGGAACAAGACTGGAAAAATTTTATCCAAACAGAAGACGAGTCTCCCAATGTTTGGAATAACACATACAAATTCATCAAGAACAAATTAAAAAACAAAACACACCTCACCCCAATTCTTTCCAGTGATCGAACCATTGATGAGATAATTTCCCTCACCAAATCCCTTTTCCCCTCTGATCCTTCCCTTTGTGCCCCATCCCTTCCTTCCTCCTCTCTTCCCATCTCCTTCCCCTTTCATACCTTTCTTCCCCTTATCAAAGATCTTAATCCTAAAAAGGCACCAGGACCAGATCACATCACAAATAATATGATTAAACATCTCCCCCTTCGCATGATCTTAGCTCTTCATCGCATCATGCTGAAATGTCTTTCCCTAGGGTACTTCCCCCTATCATGGCGAACCTCACAAACCAGAATTATCCTGAAACCAAACAAATCCGATCATTTTTCTCCTTCCTCCTACAGACCAATATCGTTGACGTCTCACTTATCAAAGTTATACGAAAAGATAGTCAATCTATTCTTGGTTCATTATCTAGAGACAAATAAACTGATTCACGATTCACAACACGGCTTTAGGAACAACAAATCATCTATCTCAGCCCTCAATCAAATTATCTCTGACGTAAAAAATTCAAAGTACAAACATAAAGCGATCATCTCAGTAGATTTTAAAGGCGCTTTTGACAACGCCCCTCACATCAAAATCATTAACGAATTGGAAAATCTCGGATGTCCTTACTTCCTCAGGTCCATCATCACACATTACCTCTCCAACAGACGTATTCTCATCACTACTGATCATCACAACTTCGCACATCTTCCAACAGGTCGTGGATGTCCTCAAGGCGGAGTTCTCTCTCCCACCTTATGGAACATTATAATGAACAATCTACTCAAGAATCTTTCTCAACATTACAACGCCACCGCTTATGCTGATGATCTCACCATTGTTGCCACCGACAACTCACCAACTGACCTAGCTTTAAAGATCAACAACATCACAAACAACATCGACACTTGGTCCAAATACAACAAAATCCCAATCAATTATGATAAATCAAATGTTTTATTCATAGCCAAATCCCCTCCTTCCATCCAACACCTCATCAAACTTAAAATCTCACAACAGACTAAAATACTAGGAATCACATTTACAAACAATTTAAAATTTGACACCCATATTAAAAACAAAATCACACAAATGTATAAATACCTAAACATCCTTAGAATCCACATTTCACACAAATACGGTCTATCACAGTCTCGCAGGCAAGTCCTGTATAAAAATTTTGTACTTCCCTCCCTTCTGTATGCTTCGGAAGTCTGGGGCGACAAAATCAATAATTACACACTTCGTATGTTACACACTTTCGATAATGCACTCCTAAGGAATTCTTTAAATGCATATAAATCCACACCCATTGACTCAATACACCTGCTAACACACTCTCCGCTTATTAAGGACATTATACACATCAAAACAGACACGTATAAAAACCTCCTTTCCCTTCCTCCCACCTTCATCAATAACCCTCTCACATCTCCCTTTCACCCCATCTCCAACACTAATGTTCACACAGATTTTATTTTTTCCACTTTCACCCTTACTGAAACAAATCACAAATTCTGTCATACCACCACACTTCCTTTCCATATCACCACCACCACCAAATACAACAGTTTTGTTCCATATTATGAAATTGTTTTCCACAATTTATACAAAACTTGCAAAAAACTCTTCTCGTTACACACTTCACCTTATAATTTGAGCATTCTTTTACACACCAATCAAAATAACCTTATACAACACACTAACAAAATCTCCAAAAACACACATAAACTCTTTAACATTTTACACCTGCATCACACCAAGATCCTCTATCATTATTCTAAAATCACACCTCCACCAAATCTTACACTCCCATCACAAGTATCACAGAAAAAATACTTCAACAAAAAATGTATCAAAACAATAGCCACTGACACAATCAATACACATTTAAACACTCTTCAAACAAATTGTACAAAAACACTCGTAAAACACATCCACCAAAATAAACTTAATTTCACACAAACACAGGCCACAACATCATTAGTTACTGGACATGGTCCTACTAGAGAATATCTATTTAGGATTTGGAAAATCGGATCCTCTCCCGATTGTCCTACATGTAAAGTACCTCAAACATACCAACACATCATCACAGACTGCACACTTTTCACAGACATCAGACAAAAATATACAATAATTACAACACAAAACATAACACAAATTATAAACAAACTCATCTTAAACAACAATTTCACTGACTTTTGCAAAGACATACACACATTACTTCGTATCCAAAACAGACATTTGAAATACAACACACAAAATTAATCACCAAATTCTTCATAAACACAAACACGCATTTGTATTTTCTCTTTTCATAAACCCTTTTTATAATTTTCTTATATTCTTTTAATAATATCAAATAAAATTTTGGAGTTATGCTCCTTAAAAAAAAAAAAAAAAAAAAAAAAAAAAAAAAAAAAAAACAAAAAACCCCAAAAGGGTGGAAAAAAAAAAAATTTCTAAAAAAAAAAATTTTAA